TGCAGTGAGCCCGGAGGACGCAGTGGGCGAGAGAGGAGGAGCTTAGTATAGCGATAGGGTAGAGGCAGCCATAGCTGCCATAGCTGTAGTTAGTGTGAAGTGTGTGTGTATATGTGTGAGTGTTCAGAGTGACACGTGTGGGATATCCAGAGTGATCAGGTGTGTGTGAACAATCTCTGAGTTTTGAGTGGGCGCATGTCGCCATTTTGCTGCGCTGCTGTTTACATGCATGAAAAGTGTGAATAAGAACGGGTCTGATTGCAAGTCAAAGAAAATAAACAATAAAAGGAAGGAAAACAAATGATTATTCATTATTTGATCAATTTTTGACGGGGTTTGTTCTTGATGGGATTTTTGCCGAAGATCATTTTTTTATCTTTTATCTGTCGATCCATACGAGTCCCGTTGATCTTTGCCAATCCTCCTGATTGCTACCCTCACGATAGCAAAGTATTATTGAGTGCGAGGGATCGATTTTGGGTCGCGACGACATGGTCAGGTATGGTGCGGCAACAATACTACTTTGGTATGGGTTAGGCAGTGTTATTGTTCTGGGTGCGGACACTGGTCTGGAACGAGCATGACGCATTGGTACGAGACAGGAACGGTACAGTCCTTTGCTGGCGCTGGCATGGCGCATTTGCGGCACCACATAATATTCTATTTTCTGGTCACGGTAACATGGTTGACATGGGGCGTACACCGGCTCGTCTTTGAAGCGGATTGCTGCCGCACGGTACTAGCATTTTGGTGTCTACATTGGTTCGGATCAGGTTCGGCACTGGTCTGTTGGAGCAACTGTGCAAGTTGGTGCGACCTTCGGTTTGTTCGGGAACGGTCACGGTACTCCGGTTTGATGGTATTATACCCTATTGCAGGCTCGGCACAGGTACGGTACTGGGGCAGCATACTGCGGTCTGTGCCTATTTTTTTCAGGTTCGGTCACTGGTACGGAACTGGGACAGCATGCTATGCGACTGTTAACCTAATTAATTGGCACCTGGCCACTGGTTCAGTATTGGATCTGGGACTGCTACAGGTCACTGCAGTTTGGTCGCATTCGTCGAAGGTTCTGTACTATTGCAGCGGCAAAGCCACTGGCTCGTCACTAGTGTTGCAGCGCGACATCGCTATTTTGGTATGGGCACTGATTTAGCACGGGTACTGCAAATGTGTGACTTGTTACAGCGTTCGGGCTGGCCTGGAACTGCTGAGGATCACCTGGTTTGAGGGTACCATTTCGATCAGGCCTAGTACAGGTCATTACGCTTCGGGACTCGTATTTCGGGTACTGTTCCTAATCCGGGGTTGTACCTGGCCTATCGACGTCAATCTTCGGCGTGGTTTAACTCGGCTACTGATAACTCCTGCCTTAACCCTCTGGGTCCTGGATCAGGACCGCGGGTGGAGGATCCATCTGATCTGAGGGCCTGGATGGAGTGGTACCGGGGGTACCAGCCCTGTTCAGAGCCTAGCCGAGCGACGTTGGGGGACTGCTGCGGAAGATATAGTCGGGGGAGTCTTTCAGACGGGGGGGGGACACAGTGTGCCTGGTGTTCGTCGTGCACGACCACTTCAGACGCGGTTGAGACGTGCGTGGCGTACGCTGCCCACAGCAAGCTCATGTGGAATGAGGTATCGGATGATCACGAGAGGAGAAGGCATTTTTAAAACAGAGAAGGAGCCGGGGAGTGGAGGCGCGGCCGACGGAGCTGCGTGTCTGGTGTACCCCTCCCACGCGCGCTTTTGGCCAGGGCTGTTTTATCCCGATTGGAGAATGTGGGGGAGAGAGCGCGAAAACACCGTGCTCAGGAGACGATCGAGGCTGGGGATCGGGGAGGAGAAGAGACTTCTCGTCGTGTCAGGCGTACTCAGTACACTGGGGACTGACTGAAACATGCCCGTTAGGAGGGCGGTCGTCTGGGGGGGGGAAATGAGCACGGCACAGGGAGCGAGTGAATGTTCAATCAACCGGGCGTGTGGCTGCGTAGCCGGCGCCGTGAACCGAACAGCGTGGAAGTGAGCACATGTGAGATCTGTAGCTGAAGGGAAAATGATGCCTCTTGAAGGGAAGTCTGCACGGTGTTCTCAAAGCTCGCGGCTGAATGAAGATGAGTAAACGTTAACCAATGTGGTGGCAAGCCTACGTGGACGACGGCGGAATCTGTTAAACTCGGGGAAAGCAGATGCAGATACGCTCGCCATTGGTAGACCAGCCATTACCGCATAAAAGCGAGAGCGCCATTGTCACGGTTGATCGAGAGCAGCTGCTGCTGACGGGGAGATCAGCCAATACCACATGAAAATGAGATCTTCATTGTCACAGGAGATTGAGAGCCGCTGGCGCTGACAGCGTGGTCAGCCATTATCCCATGAGACAGAGATCGTTATTGTCACAAGAGATTGAGAACCGCTCCCGCTGACGGCGAGATCAGCCAAAACCACATGGAACGGAGATGATCATTGTCATAGGAGAATGAGAGCCGCCACCACTGGCTGCGAGAACAGTCACATTAGAAGCGAGACAGAGATCGCCATTGTCATGCCTGATTGAGAGCCGCTGTTGCTGGTGTAAAAGCGAGCCATTATTGGCTCAAACGGAGTATGTCATTGTTGCTGATAGGTGTACAGTCACTTTTCACTGATGACGAGGACTGCCATCCTGCTAGTGGAATCAACAGTCACGCGAGTGAGACAACAGCTGCATTCGACGAATACTGAGACCTGGTAACGTGCTAGTGGAATCCGATGATCAGGTAAGTGGGCATGTAAACGAGTGTTGGTGACGCGCGGAGTCCGTTCGAAACGGGCTTCCGCGGAGATTTGGTGGGAAGGGGGCATCGGTCTTCTTAATCTAGAGTTAGCCTTGAGATGATTGAAGTGTCTCATCTCGGGATTTCAGCTTCACTTGCAATAATTGAAAGTTTTTCCTTTGCCCCTTGCCTTCCCTTCTCCGTTTCAGTGATGCTGTTCATCGACTAAAGGGCTGCTAATCTGGGTCGGCCAAGCTCAAAAATTGAGAACATAGAGTGTTATTAGTTGTCTGCAATTTGAGTACTAGGAGAGTTCGGGACCACTCGGACAATTAATTACTATTATTTTTTTTCTATTTTATTCCTTTTTTTTTCCCCTTTTTCTTGTCTCTCGAGAATTCAAGCGGGGGAGTTCAGAGACTCAACTGATTGAACTCGTCCATCATTGAGTATAGGGGATGCAGGTCAAAACTTGGTGATCCAACCGCAATGAGCAACGCAAATTCTTTCTGTGCTGTTGAAATTTGAACCGAGAAGAGGTAACATTTGCATAGCTGCAGATCAGGCAGCTCAGTCCTCAAGCATCAAGAGCTCGGATCCCTGCTGATTCCAGTTGATAAATGAGACAATAGGTCATACATGTGCGGCCGATAAACTCTCGGCTCAAACGGGCATGGTCAGATTGCCTGGTCGCTCGTAACGCTAAAATTCTAGTGGGGGTTGGGATTCACTCAACAGTGCTTGTCTATGCTTCCTGGGACATTTTTCATGGAGGTGGTGGTTGTTTGTTAATGTGCTGTTTTGATTCAGAGAGAGGCCGTGGCTGTTCGTTAATGTACTCTTTTGATCGAGAGAGAAGCAGTGGCTGTACATTAATGTGCTGTTTTAAACCCACGAAGGGGGGATCTCGGATCTATCGGATTGTGGAGGACAGTAACTGGGAGTCAGAACAAACATCTTAGAGATCTGATCTATGTGCTGCACCCAACCTGTGCGATAGGTCTGCGTATTAAAAAGGGGTGATTTGATTGGGCGATTATTTTTCTCAATCCGCTGAGCGGAGAGGAGAGCATATGTTCTCTCCATAGTGGAGACTGACAGGAATGCCAGCCTCACACACCCTGTTAGGCCACTGAGTACCTCGGGAGCGGCCGCGGTGGGTGACAGACACCGTTGTCCTTGGCTTCCGCGAGCGGCAGGAGGTTCTCTCCCCGGGTTTCCTCACACCGGTAGCAGGGCCTATAGGCTGCTGTCTTTGGCTGCGGGCATGGTTTGACGTACCTAGGCTGCAAGGCACATGGCACAATCTGTAATTGGGGCATATTCACACTGGGACATTTTAACAGATTCTCGCCTTTTTTCTTGCCAGATACATCCTGGAAAGTTGCAGTGTTAGTATGCCCTAAGTCAATCCTTTGATGAATGTGACTTCTAGTAATTCCTTTGCGAATGTTTGGTTCAGCCTGTTCTGATCTGCAGTTCTTCTGTTTTGTCACAATTTTTCTTATGCTTCTTTCCAGTGCTGCGACTGAGATCTGATCACAGGCCCTTTAAGACAAATGATCGTATGTGTTCGGAATAGTTGACAGTACCAGTTTTTGAACCCAGGTCGTAGCGCTGTGGACTTGTTGTATTATAGGCAGCAGCTTAAACCGTTCAGCCAGTTTTGAGTCCTACCCATTTTGTTGTTCTTCATTTGCAGGCCTAGTAGTACCCAGTTTTGTCGCTTCACACTGATAGGCCCCTCATCAACTTAGGCCCACTTTTTTGTCATTTCACACTGACAGGCCCCTTGCCCATATGTAGAAATGGCAGTGCAAGAACACTGGCCTGTGTAGCTTTTCGAGACACTTTTTTTTGCACTATGTAGAAGCACTTTTGTACAGCTGCCATTGCAGGCGAGAAGCTGGCACAGCAGTAGCTTCTGCTATCCATCAGGATGCACAACCGTTTGGAATTCTGACTGTTGCACGTCGCACTATCCCTTTAGGCGTCCGTCAAAATTAAAAAGATAGGACACAGAGCAGATTAGCATGCCCCTCGGCAATGCAAAAGAAAAATCTGACACTAAAGCATCAGAGATGTGCGTGTATGTTGAGTCCTAGTAGGCTGTCTCGGAGGTAGGGAAGACTGAAGAAACGGAACAAAATTGCCAACCTTGGGGTATCTTTTTTTCACATAGCTCTGTGCTAATTCCAATGTTGCTAACTTGTTTGTCCTGTCTATTATGTTCGCTGTGCCATGTAGTGATTTGAGTTCCAACCGGCTATCAGGAGGCATACCCGAGAGCTTGCAGAATTTGACAAATCTTCAAGTGCTGTGAGTGCTCATGCTCAATCCCGAATCCATCCAAGAACCAAAGGAAAATAAAATCATGTGTAAGTTCTCCCATGGCTGTGCGGTTGAGCAGAGAGTGCCCACATGTCTGTCTGCCTAACGTGCAGTAGCAGTAAAAACCAATTCGAAGACAGCTCTGGAGCATTTTTTTTTTTTTTTTTTTTTTTTTTTT